TGCAACAGCTAACAAAGTCGTCCCCACTGTAATAAAGGCTATCTTGACACTTTTTACACTTGGTCTTGGAGCGCTGGAGGACTGCTGTGCGGTGGGTAATTGTGCAGTAGTTGAACTCAAGGAAGCTGATTGAGAAGGAAACGTAGACGCTATAAGAAGCTAGTCAAATTTTAATCTAGAAATCTATATTCGAAGTATCAGGCTTGGCTGACATAGTGGATATCTCTTTCTAGAGAGTAAGTCCTCGCTGAGCAATATAAACTGTAATTACAGGGAATGGCCCGCTTTAACCTGTGAAACAAAAAATACTGCAAAACGTTTGTGTTATATTGCACACCCGAGACCGGTTTTGTCGCAGGTGAATCATAGGTAGATGGCTGAGGTGTAAGAGTCGTTTTCTGGGAAGGGGCAGTACCCAGATCGGAAGCTAAAGCAAATAGTAAAAAATGCAGTTACTTAATATTTTGAACATATTCCCCCTTAACCGTTTCCATTTCATTTGTCAACATGGGAAGAAATATTATCAAGAATATAAGACAATCGTAAAAACTAATTAATGTGCTTCCACAGCTTACCAGTTTTTCTTTTCCCTTCCCCATGCGTTTTACCGTTTTCATTTTTTTTCCAAATTTCTATGGATAGGTAAGTTCTATGAGTTACTAAAATCCCAAAGCAACTTAACCAATTACAAGAAAGTGAAATGTAGAAATCACGTGTTGTCTACGTGCTGTATTATACACGAAAACTGAACTTAAAGTTCGAAAATTCAGCAGGAGTTTGAGCACTACCGTGAATGTTTTTAAGGTTTTTACTTTGCCTTTAAATAGATTTAACACTCGCAGTTTTTTAATCAGATTTAAAGAGAGCTTTTCTTATGAAGTCGTTGGAACCATTTACAATAGGTAATCACGCGTACTTTTGACTTCTGAGCGAGAAATTATGGCTAGATTTTGCTTTTAAGCGCAAAGGAGCCTGAACGTTTGTTTTTGTCTCAAAATTTAGGGCTTCATAGCTCTTGCGAAGTTCAATTGATGTGTGATTTATTAAAAGGGCAAAAATGGTCGAAACGGTATAAGATTTATGGCAGCCTTCAATGTTTACAACGACGTTTCGCGCTAAACCGGGTTTAAGGTTTTTCTTCCCCTTGGGCAGTTTATCGGTGTGTGACCGCAAACATGAAAGTGAGCAAAACCCAGACCGACCCCAACCCAAACTATTTCCACATGGGGAGCCTTGGGGAAGACCAGTGTGACTGCACCTGATGTAGTAACTTCTTTGTAACACGATTTGTGGAGGAAATGTGATGTATGTTGCCGTATAACTTAGGTTATAGCTTTTGCCCAGTTTTGTCGTAGACATGACATTATGGCATTTCATAAAGAGTATCTCTTGTTTATCTCAAAAACTCCACCAAACGACAGGTTTATGCCTCAGACAATTGAAGACCCTAGGCAAGGCCCCGTCCGCACGTATCGGGATATTTTTGAGTCCGCAAATTTTTCTTTGCGGATTCAAAAGAATTTCTCGACTTTCTTTCTCAACAACTGTTTCGCCGACACTAGTTAGCTCGTTTAACTTTTTTATGGCGTTGAATTCGCCCGTCCGACATGAAGAAGCCTTAGAATGTCAAGCGGCCGTTTGGTATATTTTTAGTGTAAGCAGTAATTATTTTAATAATGCTGAGCTAGGTTCAGCTGCACAAGTTATAAGACTTGATATAAGTCCAAGATGTAAAGAGGTGATAAAGCAGATGTCGTGAATATTCACGATCGGTCGGTCGGTCTTGTTTCGTCATTGGTTAAAATATATCCGGATTTAGCGTCCACAAGATTCCGGATACATAGCGTATTAAGAAAAGTTCCACTCTGGAGCGGAGAGCGGATTTAAAAAGTTGAGGATTGGTATGCCGGATTCACCGGATCATATATACGTTGTGGACGGACTGTCGAATCGACAAAGGAAAAGTTGCAGATTCAAAATTGAAGGGGCCTAAATTTAACCGACTGGGGTGTGAAATTAATTTTTAACTACACCAGGGACTGCGTTTACAACGCAACGCTACATTAGTCCTGAGTTCTCTGTATTTGTTTATTCAATTTAGGCGAAATTTAAGGTACTAATGTACCGTCCTGTTACCATTCAAAAATGATACCGACGTTTCGCGAAACCACGTCCTTTCAAGAAAAGTGTTTTTGAAGCCACGGTAAAAAGGGGACGGATACTAAAACCTGCAACCTTTTTGCAACGTTTCTGCAAGACGACCTGTAAGGGACGCTGCCCGTGTTTTACCACCGAAAATTAAGCCCGCTTTGAGACAAGGTTGTCGAAGGTTGGGAAAAGGAAATAAAGAAAGTAGAAAGTAGTCCGTCACTACTTTTTGCAGCAACTTCTCGCAACCTGCCGTGGGACAACCTAACTTGTTGCACTAGACAGCTTTTACCTTTCTTCTTGCAACAATTTTGCGAAAAGAAAAAACTTGCATGTTTTTGTTGCCTGTAGC